CATTTTAGCTAAATTTAAATACATTTAGTTGACTAACTTTCAACTAACATTAAAAAAAAAAAAGTAGCTAAAATAAATTGTTTGCAACCACTGCACCTTAAAAAAAACGTAGTATCATTATTTGTGTACCGATCATTCAGCTGACTTTTAAAAGACTTTTAGCAGACAAAAAACATTTCAGAATACATAAAAACTTTTGAAAGTTCACATTGGACCTAGGGACTTTATACAGCACATGCCCTAGTAAAGATGGTAATTATATCTCATAGCTTAATTTATATCTATTTAAAATTCAATATGGTGACTTTCCTGAATAAAAGTCTAGTACTGTAAAAATGCCAGACATCTGAACATTACATATGGGAAATAAGCAACAATTTTCTTGCTAACATGCCCTATTTCTAGCTAAGACAAGATAATTGCTAAATATTTCCTAAACATTGCTAAACATTTTTTTTAAAAACAGAACTGTTTTAATTAAAAAAATAATTGTGTACAAAAGTTTCATTGTCACCAGCCAATGAAGGACTGCACTTATGCTATCAGAAACGTCCTACTTCCCACTTCTGAAGTTGTAATCACGAGTTGGTCGTGTTCAAGTGCTTTGTTGTCTGAAAGAACAGAAAGCACTATGGACAGCCTATTCATTCATGCCTGTTTCTTGGGGAAATTTTATTAAAGCTAAAACGTGTAGATTAGAAGATATTTTGTCAATATCCAACAGGTTTTGAATAAAATGTAGCGTCCCATTCATTGGTAGCCATATAAACATTCACAGCGCTATCTAGATATTCAGCTGGCTGACGAGTCCTAAATTTCTATCAAATAGATGCTATTTTTGCTGTGTTCAGTATATACAATATGCATTAAATGCTTATTTATATATGTAAATATACATGACTGCAATGGCAGGAAAAAGCAATGTAGATGTTGTGAGAAAAACAAATAAAGCTTTACTGTGTTTCTCTCCTATGCCATATTTAAAGTTTATAGCTTGCCCAACTCAGAAACTCGGGTATCAAAATGATCTCTGAGTTTCCCTGTTGTAAATACGATTAAGGAGGCCGTTCATGTCCAATTTTCGACTAGGAAACTTGTATTTACGATAATTCTGATAGCATGTGAAGGCAGCATTAAACCCAGCACACACACTCATTCTCTGTCTGATCTCGTGCATGTTAATGTTCATTTTGATTGTTAGACTCGTGAGTTTTAGACTGCCTCGTTATTTGTTTTGTTTTTGCCTGTGTTTGATGCTCCTGCATGTCCATTTGTTCTTCTCCTTTTGTTTTAATTAACACTTCACACTTGAGTTCATCTGCCAGAAATATTGTGCTATTATTTGTGCCAGAACAATATGTATTTACTTTTTTTTTGCTACGCTACTGTTTTTCTTTTTCTTTCCTTTTTTACTATCTAACATGATTTGATCTAGCATCTTTACATCATTACATTGCTGCTTGTAATGCAACAGTAAGACAACCAGCCAATGCACATATAATACTTGTAAATAACTTATTTAGCCAGAGGTTTCTTGATAGCCAAGGAAAATAAAGTGTCTGGTGTTTACATGTTTTATAAGGTTTTTGAGGACAATTAAATCACTATTTTTAACTCAGTGCATTTATGCTGTGATGAGATGCCGGGGGGAGTTGGATGACTTTTTTTTGAAAGGGGCTAGAAACGGTTAAAGGAATGAAAATGAACACTGTTTTTGGCAGAACATAACAGAAAACTGGAAAACACTCCCTTTCAAAGGGTGTAGGGATGCCTTATGCACTCTGTGTGATGTGAGTATGCTCCCTAAAACCAGTGGGGCACTTTCTGGGCCTGTTTTTCCAGACCAGGTTGTTTATTTTGGGCTTGTTTTTCAGAATAGGTCATTTATTTCTCTAGCAAAACCTGGCAACAATGTTAGTGTATGTTGCGTCACTCAATGAAAATGTGTGTAAATGCTAGTACAGTGGCAAGAAACGTGTTTTTTTTTTGCAAGCATGTGCTTGCAGTAAACTGTAAAACTGTTTGCACTACAAACCAGTGTGTTCATAATTAAGATAATACATTAAAACAACATGGTAAGACACCAATTGTGCAATATCAAGCAGGAAAATAAGCTGTTTTGTACCTTATTTTGGGCTTGTTTTTCAGAATAGGTCATTTATTTCTCTAGCAAAACCTGGCAACAATGTTAGTGTATGTTGCGTCACTCAATGAAAATGTGTGTAAATGCTAGTACAGTGGCAAGAAACGTGTTTTTTTTTTTGCAAGCATGTGCTTGCAGTAAACTGTAAAACTGTTTGCACTACAAACCAGTGTGTTCATAATTAAGATAATACATTAAAACAACATGGTAAGACACCAATTGTGCAATATCAAGCAGGAAAATAAGCTGTTTTGTACAGCTAAAAATAGCTCAAAAGTGAATGAGACCGGAAGCCAGACCCATAAAATGTACAGATGGCCGTGCCCGCTCTTACGGGAAAAATAAGGTGGATATGTTAGATTTTAGTGTTAGAGAAAAAATTTATTTAAAGTGTTAAACTACTGTTCACAGTTAAATTCAGTTTAGCTGAAAAATAGTTTTCAGTGAAATGATACATCAGAATCTCTGATGACATTTAAATTTTTCCTTCCCATGGGGAACACACTTTTGCACAGTTCTTCTACATTAGTATCATAATGCTTTTACAATGTGTCCAGTGCCATGAACAGGTCATATAGTCAGTATGTGTGTGGTCTCATGCTACGGCTCCATCATCCTGTTTGAATGAGGGATTACAGGAAGAGTAGCTCAAGGCACTTTTATCTCTCCACACAGCCCCTGTGCTCCGCAATTATCACTCACAGAGCATGCACTCTAACCGCAGCTCTGGCTCCCATTTATAATGCTGCACTGGACCTATAATGAGACTGCAGCCACATTATTACCTCCAGCCTGAGCACCTCCACCCGGGGGCTTGACTCTTCCAGTCCAGCGCATCACAGTCTACAGCCACCCACCCCCATGCCCTCCTTTTGTGTGACTCTAAGATTGCCAGAAAATAGACCCTCTCCTGGCAACAGAACTGTGTTTGTGTTCTTGCATATCTCCTGGAATTTTACCAAATGCTTTATCAACTTCATAATGTTTGAACTGCTTTTATTCTAGTTAAACACTCTAAACTGCTATGCAGTTTCATTTAAAAAATGCTTTAAGAATACAATCTGTCTTTGTCTGTTTCTATGCTGTGAAATTTTCCCCTTTTAACATTATTACCGGTACTATCCCTGAACGTGCCCCTAAACCTAAACCTAACTCATGTAGCTAACTTAAACTTCCCAGGACTTTCTTGGGTAAGTACACAGTAAGTACATACACTGTAAAATAAAGTGTTGCACTTTATTTTAAGGTGTCCTTGTTACAGTGTAATTATATATTTAAGTACTGAGTAATATTAATTACTGTAACTACATGTACTTACTATATGGTTAGGGTAATGAGTAGGGTTTGGGTTAGGGTTACTTGCATGTAATTATGCATCATTTATTGTTATTATATTATAATAGTAAGTACATGTACCATATGTAACAAGGACACCTTAAAATATAGGGCCCTATCATACACCTGGCACAATGTGGCGCCAGGCATGACACAAGTGTTTTTTGCTAGTTTCAGCCCGACGCAGTTATCATTTTCATGCCCTGGCCACGTTGTTTAAATAGCAAATGCATTTGCGCCCATTTGTGCGCCCATGGGCGTGCTGGTCTGAAAACGAGGTGTGTTCAGGCGCATTGCTGGAGCATTGCTATTTTGAGGCAACTGAAATAGACTGCACCATTGACCAACTAAAACCTGGTCTAAAGTCAATGGCGCAAAAAGTGTGCATTAGTAATATGCGCCAATAGGCAGGTCTATCAAATACTAGTTAATGTTATCGCATTGGACTGAAATTTTGTGACTTTGTTCACAAAGGGTATAACTACTTCTAAAAACATTTTTGATCGTTTTCATACTTTTCTGGGGGAGATTTTTCACCTTGTGATGTTCCAGGGCAAAAATGACCCGGCCTCAAAAAAATGCTTATAAATCACTCATTATGCTATATTATCACCAAATATTGGATTCAATCTTTTTGTCAACTTCTTATCTTTCATTTAAGACTGGTTTTGTATTTATATTTGCTTCTAATTAATCATAGGCCTCATTTATCTGAAAGTAGGCACCTCATTTTTTGAGTGAAAAAGCATTATTTATGAATACTTTTCACAATATTAAATTAAAACTGATGAAAATGTACACTGTTTATCACAATAGTGTACTTTAATGCTTAATCAGGGAGTTTGCTTTTAAATGCTTTTATTTTGTACAAAATGGCACAAAGTCACACTTGTGGTGTTCCCGGTCATAAATGTGCAGCCATTTCAAAACAAACTCCCTGATTAAGCATTAAAGCACACTATTGTGATAAACAGTGTAAATTTTCATCAGTTTTAATTTAATATTGTGAAAAGTATTCATAAATAATGCTTTTTTTCACTCAAAAAATTAGGTGCCTACTTTCAGATAAATGAGGTCCCTACAAGAATTTAGCTGATTAATTTATCTACCCAAATATTTATTGTTACAATTAAAGCATACAGTGGTTGAATGCAGTACCAAAATGGAAAAACATCACTAAAAAAAAAACATTGTGCACCAGAAGTGTAGTCAAGACCAGACCGCCAAGATACAGACCAAGACTATACCCCTCGAGACCCAGACTAAGACCTATCAAGGCAAAGACCAATGATTTGAGGTTTTATAAAGAATATTTCAACTCTTAAGAATAGCAGTCACTCCTGCACACAACTCCCACAGTATTTGGTCCTGTGGTCACTACGAATGAAGTCAACACAAAGACTGTATACATACCAAGATGGTTCACTCATATTACTATGAATGGGAGAAAGTTTACAGAGCAATATGGTGTAAAAGTCCTGTCTTAAATAAAAGACAGAATCATGAATTAGTCTCATGGCACCGACTGTTGTTTCTTTCCACTTTTTTCTTATAACGAGCTTACTGCATTTTGTATTATAGATTATAGGTGTCACAATCTCTAGCTGGAGTGCCCACGTGTCCATCTCATACCTTTGCCACTCACTATGGACTCTGTCAAGTGGTTTCACCATTTACAAAGTTTCTTGCAGAAATCTCCCACTTGATAAGACAGCCCACTACAAGAATTCAACCAGATTCCACTTATTGACCATACTGTCAGACTCGGTTCCTGTCCCGTGTCATGCGTTTTCCTCCTCCACGTGTTCCATGTACCAGGTTTCCCATGTTGATTGTGTTTGATATTGTTTCCAGGTGTTTCTCATGTTGACTGGTTATTGATTTCAGGTGTTCCTCATTGTGTCCCTCCTCTAGTCTAGTATATAAAGTGTGTTCTGCCCCTTGTTTCCTGTCTGGTATTGATCGTCTATCCCCATGTCCTACGTATGGTTTTCTTTGAATGTGAAATAAAGCCTGTGAAGATTCTGGATTCTCCGTCTCCTCGCTCCTTCAGAGTAGGAACACCTTGACAGAAAACCAGACCGATACAGAGAAGTAAGTGGCACCCCTTCTCCCTGTTTTGTTTTCGTTTTGAAAAGTCTTTTTGTTTCCTGTTTGTTTCTCCCCGCGATCATGGAAATCGCTGCTCGTTTCTCCGCGTTAGCCCATTGGATGGCATTGGATGACGCCACCATCAATTCTCTGTTCTGGTTCGGGGCCAACTACCATTGCCCCATGGACCTCCCAGACACCAAGGGACTATGCTGGAAGTAAGCAATCTACCGGGGTCCGGGCCCGAGCCAGAAACCGCCCGCTGTCAACCCGCCGGCGGCGGCTCTCTCCAGCTCGCCAGCCACTCCGAAGTCAAGCCCGCTGGCCGCGGCTCTCTCCAGCCCGCCGGCAATGCCGAAGTCAAGACAGCCGGCCGCTCCGAATTCGCCGGCCGCGGCTCTCTCCAGCCCGCCGGCCGCCCCGAAGTCAAGCCCGCCGGCCACGGCTCTCTCCAGCCCACCGACCACGCCTTTCACCCTGAACCTAAAGGGGTATCTAACGAGGAGCTCCTCAAAAGTGCCTTGCTGTGTCTGCTCCTCCAGAGCACCCTCCAGTTCTAGCTCCTCGTATGCGCTTCCCAGTTCCCGAATCCAGCCTAGTGAGGGCTCCAGTCCCCGAGTTTAGCCCAGAGAGGGCTCCAATCCCCGAATTTAGCCCAGAGAAGGCTCCAGTCCCCAAGTGTAGCACAGAAAGGGCTCCAGTTCCCATGTCGAGCCCAAGGAGGGCTCCAGTCCCCAAGTCAAGCCCAGGGAGGGCCACTGTTCCCGAGTTAGGTCTACGGAAGGCCTCTAAAGTCTGATCCGCCATGGCGCATATACAGTATATATATATATCTCTATCGAGATAAATAAAACTAGACCTAATTCACAAACCGAACTAATACAAAAAAACAATAATATTCAGATACAACACAATTCAACAAAACAACCCAAGTACAAAAATAACAAAATATTAAAGCTCACCGGCTGCTTCTTCAGTTTCTTGTAGTAGGCTTAACAATGCACAAAATAAATCTTTCCTTTGTTCAAGTCACTGCAACTCTACAAGGAGTCTTCTTCTTCTTATGATGTTTAAAGGCGGTTGGCAAACCAGCTTTTCTCACATCGCTGGTGATTACATGTTCAAATGATTTCTATGGCGGCAATTCTATGCCATTAATAACCAAGCGCACCACTGATGCTAGCGCACGCGGTAAATCAATTCTGTGAGAGGAAAACAGATTTACACGCGAGGAAACGGGAGCCCGCGAGCTAATTTCAAACCCTCGCGCACGTGTGACATGTCCTCTGCGCGCAATACAAGCCCTCGCACACGCAGGACCATTCCCCACATCCTCGTGCTCGATCTTCCCTCACCTGCTCGCGCGAACACTTTTATTTTTGTCAGTCATGGGGCGGGGCTTGCTGTTTTAATTGTAACCTCAAATGTCATTGGTTATTCCTTTTTTCCGGAAGTCAGTATTGGTCGCCTGTTATAAGATGATTTATAATTCTCTTGACTTAAGACATGGCATCAGTGGACCAGATACATGTGAGTTATCATTTCATTTGCTTGTTTTATTTATTTATTTTGTCTTTATTTAATGTAATTTAATGCATTGTTCATAAAGTAGATCTTTTTCTGATACTTTATTAATCTTCAGTCTTGTGATGATAAGAGATACACATTTCATTATCATGACTGTAATGATACACACACACACACACATAGTGTTACGGGGCTGACGAGACGTGAGACTTGCGGATCCATTCGCAGAGCTTTATTAGATACAGACACTAAGGCTAAGGCTAAGGCTAAGGCTAAGGCTAAGGCTAAGGCTAAGGCTAAGGCTATGACAAGGGCTCCGTAAGGTAGCTATCTCTGGGAGAGTGATAAATGCTGAAACAATACTCGGCAGAGGGAAGGGATCAGAGGGAGTGTTAAATAGTGAGGGAGTGATATGAAACAGCTGGGTGCAATCAGTGTAAACAGGTGTGTGCAATTCGTGCTGAGTGCAATCAGTGCAATGCATGATGGGAAATGTAGTCCGGGGTGCTATGCAACAGTTTGTGTGGTGCGAGAGTCAATGAAAAGGAACGTTCATGGAACGGATTCGTGACACATAGGCTATATATAAATCTATAGGAATGACAGTAAAGTTTTCAAAATGTGTTTTATCTTTAATCTTGTAAATAGATACAACATCGTAATATTTGAATTTTTTAGTTCCTATAAAACACAGGTTTCACCATGTTTGCATTTGATTTACAATGTTACTAGTCATATGCAATCAAAATCAGTCCATTCACGATGATGAATATGAAAATGTATTTCCTGTTTATTGAAAAGAAGCTTGTAATACATTAAGTTCCAATGTATTTATTTGTTCTTTTTGTTGCATTATTCTTTTTTCCTTTGTATTTGCAGGTTGTGTACTTGAATAACAACTGCCCAGTTCAGGAAAGTAAAAACACTAGAATTTTAGTTCTGAAACTTTTCTGGTTCATATTTTCTTCAAGAGGCACTGACCAAGGAAGTTTCATATGCGGTAAAAGTGTCCATAATTAAAGGTAAAGTACAGTTGTCTGACATTTAATTTAGACCTAAATTTAGTAACTTAAGTAATCTGTAGGTATCTTTTCAATGTAACTTTTAAGTAAAAAAATATCTTGCATTTATTAATAAATAACTGATCTGTTTTTAAACCTAAATTTATTTATATTTTTACTGTTTCTAATAAGATTGAATGCATTTGGTGTGATGTCAGAATCATGGTGACCAACAAGTACTAGACATGCTGCACTCGCTGGAAGCATAATGATTGCTTGACATATCAGTGGTCAAGGTTCTTTTCAGTGTGCACTTCACTTTTCTCCCAAGAATTCAGACAGACTTGGACACATTTGCAGAAGCCTGGAATCATCCACTCTCCTCAGAAGGCAATCGAAGTTCAGAGCATCTGTGGCACATTGGACTGACACACACAAAATTTATCAATCCGAGAGTTATGAGGTGTGGAGACCTTGCTTTCTTTACTCTGTCACAACACTGCTGTTTATGCATTGGTCTAAGTGGATTTTTAACTATGTATTTAACTGCTAAATCATTAGGACATTGAAGAGCCAGATCTAGATGGTGACATAGCAGCTTCTTACGATGCCTGTGAAGATTTTGGAGCTATTGTTCAAGAATTTGAATCCCTTTTGAGTTTGGATGGCTTGAGGGCACTCAAACACCTTCTGAATTCAACTGGTCCTAATATCCCTCTTAAAGAACTGTATTTGCTTTGTCAGCTTTTTTTCCCCAGCAAATATGGGGTAAATTAAAAAAATCACTGCTATGTCCCAGTCTAGATATGGCTCTTTGATGTCTTGAAGATTTAGCAGTTAAATACATCATTAAAATCTGCTTAGATTAATTCATAATTAATTAAACAGCAGTGTGACAGGGTAACTAAAGCAGGGTCACCATACCTCATCTCTTTAGCTTTAATTAAGGACACTTTTCCCCTTGTTCAGTGCCTCTTGAAGAAAACATGAACCTGGCAATCTGTACATCCTCCACTCCTTGGTCTCCCTTGACCCTGTTTTAAGGGAAAAAAATACAATATATTTCCAGAAATAAAATTAAAATGCTTTTACTTTCCTGAACTGGGCAGTTGTTATTTGCTGCATTCAAGTACACAACCTGCAAATACAAAGGAAAAAAGAATAATGCAACAAAAATAACATAAATACATTGGAACTGAATGTATTACAAGTTTCTTTTCAATAAACAAGAATCAATTTTCATATTCATCATCGTGAATGGACTGATTTTGATAGCAGATGACTAGTAACACTGTAAATCAAATGCAAACACGGTGAAGCCTGTGTTTTATAGGAACACCGACTAAACAAACCTTCAAATATTACGATGTATCTATTTACATGATTAAAGATAAAACACATTTTGAAAACTTTACTGTCATTCCTATAGCTTTATATATAGCTTGTGCGTGCGTGCATGCGTGCGTGTGCATCATTACAGTCTTTAAAAAGGGTTCATATGTGTATCTCCTATTCTCACAAGACTGCAATCACTAGTAAACAGAAGACTTCCTATTAATAATGTATCTGAAAAAGATCTACTTTATGAACAATGCATTAAATTACATTAAATAAAGACAAAATAAATAAATAAAACAAGCAAATGAAATGATAACTCACATGTATCTGGTCCACTGATGCCATGTCTTAAGTCAAGAGAATTATAAATCGTCTTATAACAGGCGACCAATACTGACTTCCGGAAAAGAGGAATAACCAATGACATTTGAGGTTACAATTAAAACAGCAAGCCCTGCCCCATGACTGACAAAAATAAAAGTGTTTGCATGAGCAGGCGAGGGAAGATCGAGCGTGAGGATGTGGGGAATGGTCATGCACGCGCGAGGGCTTGTATTGCGCGCAGAGGACGTCACGC